GTTTTGTATTTTAGAAATATCTTGTGAATTCTGACACAAGCATATGTTATCAAACTATTAAGTAATAGCCAATGCAAAAATCCAAATTTAATTATAATCACAATCGTTTAAAAAAATTCTAAACTAAAGAGATTCAGAATAAACTTCAAGTTGCAAAATTCTCTAACCACTCGGACGAGTTTAAAATTTCATTTCAACTTAAATATTTTTAAAATCCACATAAGTGTGATTTCAGACTTAATGAGATTCTATTTCGACGTAATAACATTGACGTATAACATACTTGCTTTAGAAACCGATTTTCCGCTAACATTCATCAGTAACAACGGTTTCATCAATGTTATCTCCAAAGGTACCGGATCAGGTCTAGGTCTAGGTCTAAATGATTCTGACATTCTTGATGGTTTTGGTGAAACAGCTCTTGATGATGATACAGATGATGGTGTAGTTGAGGGTAATGATGATAATGGCGAAGATAGATATGAGGAAACTTTTGAGGATAATTCATCGTCGCTATCTGATTCATCATCAATTTTTAGCTTTGAAATATCACTCTTAAGTCCTACACTTACATTATCTTCTGATCGAAAATTATCATCAAACTTTTTTTGATTTTCATTCTCCACAATATTTTTATCATCAATACCATCATTTTTTTCTTCAATAGAATTTGTATCTTTTTTTGCTTGCTTCTTCACGTTAGTTTCTACTTCCTTTTTTTGTTTTATTTTGGGTCGTTTAGGGGGATCAACGTATATAGTTGTAGTGTTGGTAACGGTAGCATGCCAATTTTTATTTTTTTTCCATGTTAGGTTTAATTGTGATGCTATGTAATCTAATACCAACATTCCAATACTATGTCTAGTTTGTGGATGGGTATAATTACCAAGGCCGACTAACTATAAAAAAATTTTTTTTCAAAATCATGGATATTTGAATGAATAATATTAGAAACTGGATAAATAAACTAGCGGATGCCTCTTCTTCATAAAAAAAAAATTTAACAACTTACTAATAATTTTTTGCCTTCCATTTTTCTCTTTGTCGAGATATACTTCAAAATTTTATTAGATCAAGATGTGTACTCTAACTGAGCTATTATATCAATTTCGAATATGACGATTATGCGCAGTTATTTATACGCAGTTATGATTAGTAATGATACAGGCTAGTGTGACTGCTTTTTATTGTTTTTTTATTGTTGAATTTTGTGGCTTATATGCAGACTTTTCATAAAAGGTAAGCACAAAATGCAAAGGACCGCAAGCACGTGATCTACTCGTTTGTTGGTTGGATGTACGTACGTAACTTGGATCATAGTGGCGCAGAATCGAAAAAATCTCTAACAGATTAGATAGATTGAGTCCGGTAAGCAATAAACTTAAACCCCGTTTTATCTTGGCGGCACATATATAAAATTTTAAATTGCTTTCGGCAAGATATTAAGAAAATTTAACGTACCGTACTGTACTGTCAGTGTCTGAAATTGGGTTGCGGAATCTGCGGACCGCAACAAATTTTAAATTTTTGCAAATAAAACTTGATATGCA